AAGTCCTTGATGTTTTTCTTTTTTTTTTCTTCTTTTTTTAAATAACCTGTTAAATAGATCATCACAGTATTTATTTTGTTTTTTCTCTCTTTTTTTTTCTTTTGCTACTCTGTGCATACACAATTTAGTTTAACTTTCAAAGCTATGCACTTAAGAGAAGCAAACATGTTGATCACAACAGCGAATGGTGAGTTGTTCTGTCCCTGGAGAGTTTGTGAATCCCACACACACACACACACACACACACACACACACACACTGACCCTGTACAAACACACACACTCAAATAACTAGAACAAAGAAATCTCTCTCTGTAGCAAAAGACACATTTCAGATACTAAGACAGTGCTAGAGACATTTTGTAACAAACAGGTTTTTGTTCTTTAATAAAAAAAAAAGGAAAAAAATGATGCAGCATCTGAAAGGCAGAACTCTTCTGTTGTTCCCTCTCGACATGTATCAAGAAAAGCGCTCTTTCCTTAGCTGTAGTGGCATTTCTTCCATTCTGTTATTTCTCTGCAACATTCTGTACAAAAAAAAACAAAAAGTGCTGTCGTTGTGCGTTAGGCCTGGAGTTGGCAAGAAAAACGAAACAAACAATGAACTTAATTTGCTTTTCTTCCTCCCTCTCTTCCCCATCCTCTCCTTGCCTCTCTCCATATGAATAACTTACAGCTCTGCATTCCCACTGTACCCTTATCCATCTTTTGTATTTAATTTTAAAGTCAGTGTACAACAGAAAGCTGGATGCAAGTTAGAAACTATATTAAAATGTACTGTTATTTAAGATGTAATAAAAGCAGTTTGAGACGATTTTGTTGTTTCCCTTTTTTCTTTTTTTTCTTTTTATGAATTTATGATATACTGGTATATTCAGCATGCCTGAAAAGAGATAGTTGTACTTTGCATTAAGCATGAAAGATGATCAAATTTATTTTTATGCCAAAAATTCAGAAGGTTATGCCCAGCTTTTGTCTACAGGTGGTGCTATAACCAAACTTTAAAGGGGTCATATGATGCGATTTCAAGTTTTCCTGGCTGTTCTGACTCACAGACTGTAAGTATGTTTTCATATTTAAAGGATTTGCCACTGATGATTCAAACGCCAGTTTTGGGCAGTGTAGAGTAGCGTTTGTAGTTTGTCATTTCTGTGATCACAAATGCAGACAGAGTTTTATGTTTACGTGGCGCGATGCAACGCAACGTGTAAAAAGACAGTATAAGTCATTATAATCCGTAATTATGTCCCCACTGGATGCAACGAATGCCTCGTTTATAATGGGCTTTAATGTTTTTGAATCATCGCTCCGGCCGGACACGGCATCACAATATTGTAGGGGCGTAACATTTCCGTCACACGCTTGAGGTATTCGGCCAATCACAACGCACTGGATAGTTGGCCAATCAGAGCACACCTCGCTTTTCAGACCGATGAGCTTTGTAAAAATCGATGCGTTTCAGAAAGGCGGGGCATAGAGGAGAAACAATAATGTACAGTATGTGGAAAATAATGTTTTTTAACCTTAAACCGCATAAACACATTTCATTACACCAAATACACAAAATAATGTTCTTTTTAGCAGCATCATATGACCCCTTTAAAAGTCTTTGTTTTCCGCCAGGAGCATTTTTGGCACATTTTTTCCATGTCATCTTCATGAATGAAAAGTGAATCTTTAAAGTTAATTTTACTGCACAGCTGTAGAGTTGAGAAATAATAAGGGCTTAAAAATATTAAGAAATGTGTTAATAGCTATGAAGTAAGTTATTATCAAGAATACCATTATGATGTCCTTTAAGAGATAGCATCGCTAGCTAGCTAACGTTAGCCTAAACAGTTAAGATAGTGTTTAGTTGTCTGCATTTAACTGTACAGTATTACATGTCTGGGTGCTGGGATAGGCTCTGCATATTATATGTTGTTAAATAACATGAAACTGTGTTAATGCCACTATCATTATTTACGGTGTTGCAATTATGTTGTTTCTCAGTTTCTGAAAAGAGCGAGGCAGGACTCAGGAGAGGTTTCTGTGCGGGTCTCAAGATCGGCTCTACTACTGATATATCTCGACATCAACTGAGCTTCACCGGAAGTTTACGAGCTGGATTATCTTTATGCGGAAGTTCTAAAGAACGCGAATGACGTCTGGCGCTTTTCTGCTCAGAGTTGTTTTTTTTTTCAACTTCGCGCGCTCAGCAAACACTAGGCGCAGCAGGCCGCATTCATGTAGGTGACAGCTCGTGTTACTCTCAGTTTAGCAATGCATTTACTCCAGACCAACAGAGGGCGACTTTATGCTGTATTGTTTGCCAATCTGAGGGTAATCAAAAACAGAAAAAAAAATTTTTGTTTTTTTATTTTTTAGAAATTCTTAAAATTTGGTCTACGAAACTCTAAATCTAGAAAGACGGACCAGTTTAATTAAGTATACAAATTCTACAATTACATAGTTTCAGTTAAAACGCATTATGTCATTACACGTGTTATAATATTTTAACGTTTAATACATTTTGACGTAATGTCCAGTAAATATAAGATATTCACACTGCTGCATTCAAATTCTCAATACGAGTTCATGTCTGAAAGATACGGTTCATAGTTCAGTGATCCGTGTACTGCTAACTCGATCGATTCATTCACAAACCGAACATCATTCAAGAGCATTTTCATTTTCATAAAACATGCATCGTGTTTCCAAACTTCATGGCTGTTATAAATGTTACGAGTCAGCAGATGGCGCTGTTGTCAACACTCCGAGACTGAATCTCTTCCCTCTTCAGGAGTAGGGTATTCCTGCGGTTTCAGGGCCGCATTTCCAGGATCCTAGTTTGATTTATTCATTTATTGTATTTTGTTCATTGTATGCATGTATGTATTAGCGGTTTATACACTTTTATAGCACTGCTATTCAATTCTGTATTTGTATGATTATTTTTAAGTTATTTAGTTTAATTGTATACATTTAATTATTGTCCTCACCAACCCCTAACCCTAAATATTCCCGTTGGTAACCCTCTTGAAATATTAACCTAATTTGATTCAATCTATATATTTCATGGCTATATTAGTGCAGTCTGGTGGCCAATCTTCACTGATTGCACATTCCACCAGTAAGAGCAGAGTGTGAAGGTTGAATTAGCAGAGCAATAGCACACTTTTACATCAAATATGGCAATGCACACAACATAGTGGGAGACATATCAAAAGAGGTTCAAAAGTTCAAAAGAGTACAAATTGTTGGTGCACGTCTCGCTGGCGCATCTGTGACCAGGACAGCAAGTCTGTGGTGTATCGAGAGCCACGGTATCCAGGGTAATGTCAGCAGACCACCATGAAGGATGAAGCACATCTAACAGGAGGAACTGTCGACGCAAGAGGAAGCTGTCTGAAAGGGATGTCCGGGTGCTAAACATACAACCACCGCTGCCCAACTCACTGCAGAATTAAATGTGCACCTCAACTCTCCTGTTTCCAGCAAAAAGTCCCACAGGGTCAATATACATAGCCGGGCTGCTATAGCCAAGCCTTTGGTCACTCGTGCCAATGCCAAACATCCGAACCATTCTGGAGGACCATGTGCACCCAATGGTTCAAACATTGTACCCTGAAGGTGGTGTCGTGTATCAGGATGATAATGCACCAATACACACAGCAAGACTGGTGACCGAGTGGTTTGATGAACACGAAAGTAAAGTTGAGCATCTCCCATGGCCTGCACAGTCACCAGATCTGAATATCACTGAGCCACTTTGGGGTGTTTTGGAGGAGCGAGTCAGGAAATGTTTTCCTCCACCAGCATCACATAGTCACCTGGCCACTGTTCTGCAATGGCTCAAAATCCCTCTGGCCACTGTGCAGGACTTATATCTGTCATTCCCAAGAGGAGCTGATGCTGTATTGGCCGCAAAAGGAGGCCCTACTACACCATTTTAATAAATTATTGTGGTCTAAAACCAGTTTCATTTTCCAACCCCTGTGTATATATAGAGAGAGAGAGTGAGAGAGAGAGCCTATATTCTGGTTTTAAACTCAGTTTTCTTGGAAAAAGTCTTGTTTATGTGCAAGTTCATTAGCCGCAGCGCTTCACATCTGATGTGGGACCCACTTTATGAAGTGCAGTAAACCATAAAACAAATGTAAAATACGTTAAAAATAATAAGATGGAAAGATAAACAAAATGGTTGCCATGGATCTAGTCTTTGCATCTGTTTGTTTGATGTTTGAATCAGGTCTCCTCTGTTGGAATAGAACTGTGGCGTTGTCACAATAAAACAGGGTCCTGAAACTGCAGCCTCCGGTATCGCAGGAATATAGCATTGCTTTTCAGTCGGGGCGAAGCCAGAGTTTCATGAAGCGTTGTTATCTAGTAGATCCGACGCAGTAATAACCTTTATTGGCTTAGAGCAGAGCTGTCCAAACTCGGTCCTGGAGGGCCGGTGTCCTGCAGAGTT